AGAAATTCTCACCTCTGAACTTCTCAATTAGTTTCAATCCTTCACCTTCACTTGAAGCCATGTTGATGGGAGAGATTTATCAAAAAATATTGAAAGAAGAAGTCCTAATGCTTTCAAAATCAGCAAGAAAATATTATTGCGTTAGAATCACAGAATCCTTCTTTGTAAACAAACTAGTATTCTTATTCTCAAAAACACTCTCATCTTCACTCCTAAGACTTCTTACAAGTCTAATGACCTATCTAAATGTCTCAAATCTGAATTCCACTCAAATATCACTCTTATGGTCACAAATCACTTCTATACACCATAAGAGGCTTTTTAAGCATAATCAATATCTTTAGGACATCAAACTACAAAGTTAGACTACTAAGGATCTATTTTAGTAAAAACATAATGCAAGTATTCCATAACTTTTCTTTAAGGTGAAAAACTAAATACCAACACCAAAATACTCTTAATCACAAGTAAGAACAAACTAAGAACTAGATCTAGATCTGAATCTGAAAGTTAGGTACTTCTAAATCCTAACATCAGCAATAACAACTTGATCTACTCTACACATCAACAACCACTTCAAAGAACTTCAAAGCACTCAAGCAAATGTGTGTGGGTCCATAACCTATTGAAGAAAAGAAGTCTAAAAGCTACAAATACTTAGCATCAGCAAGGTTTGCACATAAAGAGAAGTGTGGAATAAAATAACTCTTACTTCTAATACCTTTTATTTATAGGTAGTGATTGCTAATCAATGAGATAATTTCCATCCTTTTGATATTACATCTATTTCTACTTCATTCACCTAAATCTTAAGTTCTTTCTTAACTTAGCCACTACTTACAAATCTTAGCTGCCATCATAGTAACTTCTTTTAACTCTTTGCTGCCTTTTGACTATTAACAACATACTATGCTTAATCTCTATGTGATTGTAACTAAGCAAGTACTTGTTAATCTTCAACAATAACAATCTTTTGTTCTTATACCAATTCTGTTAGCATATATTCAATTATTGAATTATTAATAGTACAGTCAATTCATAGAACAAACAATATTAATCTTGGCCATTCTTTTGTTCTTCTTTTGTAGACTTTAGCAATAGCTTCAACTATTGGAAGATGGCCTTATTCACTTTTGGCATTACTTTCACAATTATATGTTATTGTAAGTAGAAGCTTGATTCTGCATCTTTAAAAAAACTTTCTTTTCTTATGTACATCTAATTCTCCATAATCAATAATAATCTTTTTAATACATCTATATCTATAAATCTTATCTTTCAATAGAAATCTATAAATTCTTTTAGTTGATTTTATTTATAAAGCTCTCTCTTCCACTTAATTAAATAAATATACTAATGTCAAAACTAAATATTATATCTATCATAATTCCATAAATATAATAACTACATCTATAAGCCACCTATAATATATTACAAGAAGATATGTAGAATACAATTCATTTATGTAAAATTTTTTAATATATCTAACAAGTTTGGTATGATTTGACAAACTTAACCTCATCTCTATTTATATTATGCTACCAATATCTTTCTTTGAGCTTATTAAAATTAGCATAAATACCTCTAAGACTTCCCTACAAATTAGAATAGAATCCTTAGATTAGTTGTCCTTATATTTTTTTTCTTATAAATTATTTTTCGTGATATACTACTATCCTTTTTGCACCACTTCTACAAATAACCACCTTATAAAAGATAGTTGTAAGTTTTTCATATAATTTTCTTAAAATAAACATCATTCTAACTTAGTCACCTTGATAAAATGCTCAAATAATATCTAATATCTATCCATTTTTCTTAATATAACTCTTTTATAAATAATTTTGAATATTCATTCTTTTCTTGATGTATTCTAAAATAGAAGGTAGTACTTATATCTTTGGTATCACCAATCAAAACTTCTTCTTGTTCATATCTACCTTGGAATAGTATATCTACTATTAGATTATTTTTATCTATTATATATTTGAATTCAAGATTCAAGGATTTAATGTATGCAATCCATCTTAGTATAGCAATATTAGAGGTATTATAATTGATGATCATTTCCAAAAGTTACAAATAATTTGTTTCTACCATTATTAGTACTCTAATTAAATAATCTTTTTTAGTCTTTATAGCTATAATCATTCCTCACAATTCTCATTTCACTTGTAGATAGTTATCTTATTATTCACTTAATATTTTGGCTCCAAACCTTATAGCAAATTTTTTTTTTTCATCATTTTATTCTAAAGTTCAACCAATAGCTATTGAATTTGTATCAATTATAAATATTATTTGTTTGCCACCTTTATAACTTATCCTTCATAGTACAAGTAAAAAAGATAATAATTACTTTAGCTTTTGAATTGCTTATGTATGCATCTTCTCCTATTTAAATCTCTTCTTTCTTTATAGCAAACTATAAAAAAAATCTACTACATGTACATAATAAAGAATTCATACATAATAAAATATATATATTCCTAAAAATCTCTACACTTTTATTTATATACTACAAACTTCTTTTATCTATTGTATAGTATCCACTTTACTAGGATCAAGCTTGCAACCAAACCATCTATATAAATATTCTACAATCACAACCTCTCAAACTTCTAAAGTGGATTTAACTTTTAATAATGTTAAGTGAACTTCTTCAAGATGTGATAAAATCTTATTACAATCAAAATATAATTAAGTACAAACTTACGACATCTCTTTTGATCTATTACTTTATTTTTTTTCTTTCAAAAATTCTTTTATTGGAATATTATCTAAAAAAGAAATAGCCATTTTGAGATAAAATCTCAAATAATATTATTTATTTTATTTATTATGTAAGAAATTAAGTTTATTTCACCTTATTGTAATGTACATATCTTTACTAATCCTAAGAATATCCTCATAGTGGTGATATTTTTGCTTCCTTCAACTAATTGAAATTGATCATATTTAGAATAAAGGTCTCTAATACAATAGATGGCTCTACTTACAAATGCCTCACTAAATTTTCCAACAATTGGTTCAATTCCAATATTTTTGACAATCACTTGATTTACTAGTTGCATATCCTAAATAAACTGTAGTATTCCATTTTTTTTAATATTATAAATCAATAGCTAGAATATGGTGTAAATGATAGCTCTAAGATCTTCATCTACATCTTTATTTCAAAAGCTCTATAAGTTTGGATAGATGCACTCGAGATATTGAAATTAGCTTTAAATCCCAATGAGCATGTAGAACTATAAATATAATCATTGATGCTATAACATTTAAGTTCTATGTTTCATTGCAAAATACTTCTTATCTTTTTATATGTTTCATTATAAAATACTTGTTAAATTTTAGTTTATCTTATAAGTGTAGTTTATAAAAATAAAAGATATATATCTTTTTATTAAATCAACACATCTTGTATGTGCATTAAAAAGACTTGTTACCTTATTTTCATCATCACATTAATAAGTATATTGATAAACATTGTTTCATATAGCATCCATAAGGGAGATGATAGAAAGACAACTATCAAAAATACTTTCATGTAATTTTTGACATTCATTATAAATAATGCAAGCAATTACTTAACTTATGGGATTTTTTCACACAAAATATTAATAATATTTCTTAGTGGTATACTTGCTGAAATCATTCAAGTTTTCATCTCCTTTTCTATAGATTGAAGTCTTCTTGCAAATACATGTCCTATAAGAAAAGTCAAAGGTCCATGGTTGTATTCACCATTTTTTATTATTAAATATTATTATCTAGTACCTTATAAATACTTTGCATGCAATGCAAAAGGGCATCCACTTAATTGATTAGATGTATTTTGTTGACAAATGATATTTGGTTGTCTAATATAAACTTGTCTCCTATCACATTTAAAATCAACTCAATCTTTCTTAGACCTTCATCTACAAATAACTTAACCATGACTATATACTACTTCATCTATCTTCTCTTTTATATCTTCAAAACAATCAAAAATATCCTTAGGTAGAGGATACATAAAAGACATACTATCCATTATAAAATTCTAAACAACTATAAATAATTCTTTGCATTCTTTGAATATAAAATATATAAATAATTATAATAGAATAGAATAATATATAAATATGTGATTTCTAAATATAGATATATATATATATCATATAAATTATAGGATTTAGCCATGATAATATTAAATACAAATGTTAATAAACGGTTATTGTTATCAACAACATAACCATCATTGTACAAGTTTTGTATTGAAAAAATCATTATTGTAATTAATCCAAAAGCAAATAAGGATATTAATGATGTATATTAAGTTGACAATCTATACACTTTGTCGTGATGGATGGATCAATTTAACTTGATCTAAACTTGGGTCACTTTAACATTCCTCTAAATAAATATGAAAGAATATTAAATCAATCTACATGAATCTTAAATCAATCTACATGAATCTTAAATCAACCACCACATGATTTTAAAATAATGGCTATGTTAATTGTCCCACACTCTATATTTACTATAGTTTTATTTGCTTCTTTTTCCTTTCTATTGTGTCATTATTTGGAAGTCACATAGTAGGTCAATTTAAGATTTCGGTGGATTGGTTTAATATTCTTTCTTATATATATATATATATATATATTGAACATTTTAAAATTTTTAATGAATACTATGAAATAAATAAAAATATTAATATTAATATTAGAAATATTATTGAACAATTTATTTCTTGAAAAATTTTGAGTTGAAAATCCAGAATTTTTTGTGTTGTAGCAGAAAGATTGCATTGCAGAATAGTTGTCAAGGCCAAAACTACTACTAAGATAATAAACAACAGCTTATTCAAATCCAATGAAGCGAATCTAACATAAAGAATACACATAATTTTGGAAAAATATCGGTGTACATGGTATAAGTGGCTACTATAATGCAAAAGCGGTTGTGAAATATGACCACAATTACCCAAAGCACCACAAAACCATGCTTAAATTCTGCGTCGGATGAGAAACACTCAACCATCACATTCATTATACTGTTCATCCACTCGGATTTTACATCCAAAAGCATGTGCACTATCTCATTCTTCCAAAGTACGTCTGTCCATCCACTATTAAATGCATGGATACAGTCCATCCAAAAGTATGCGAGGCTCACAAAGAAACTTCAACGCAACTGCCGTGTGACATTACTGCAATTGCTATTTTCACGACGACAGAGGCGGCTTTGAGATTGCGTTGCTAAATTCAAGGTACCCTAAACCCATGAGCTTCGTGTGATGATTCGCCTTACTCGATGAGGTGTAAACGAACCAATAATCGCGTCGAAGTCCCCGATTGAACCCAAAAAAATTCATTAATACTTCATGCTAATTCCATAAATGTAGAAAATACTCATAGGGAAGCGCCGTTGGATGTTGGGTAGTCTGAGATGGCTCCATGGGGACAACTGCGCCTTCAAATCCCACAATCTAAGCGAGAATTGGAAACGTGCCGATCCTCTCTTCCGAAATTTGGCATCCACGGATGTGTAATGTCTCGTACTGTTCACCCCAGCAGAGCCTCGCCGACCAAGAATTGATTTAAAACTGCTCCAATTCACCTCAACAGTTGTAGAATATTTGAGTACGACGTGCGGCGTCAACATGCAGTTCTATATATAAATTATATGGTAGTTGAGATCGGGGTCCGGTTCACTTTCGATCCTACCGTTCAGGACCAGTGCTGGCTTCAAGTACCTCAAGCGCTGCATAAGACTAATCGTTGTTGAGGGTGTATCCACGACCTCTTGGAATTTAAACTGAGATTCGCAGCATCGGTTGGGACAAAGTCAACGACGGGGACATGGTAATGTGGCGAAGGCTTGACCCGCGTCAACCTCCGCGGGATGGAAGTCCACCGGTCTGACTTTCGAGTGGCGGTAGTATATCATATACCATACGTATCATGTACACCAATACCATAAGCTCCCATTTGTTATAATACGCCAAAACGCAAGAACCAGAATGGTAACGAACTGTTTTGTTGGAAATCCTCAGCCTGCCCAGAAGATATGACTGCCTCAATGCCAGAAGTCCCTCGATCGCGGCGAGCTCGGTAACACTGTCGGTACGCAAGTCCGTGATCATCCGAGGTCACATGGACAGCGATCTCCCCCCCCCCCCTTCTGCCTACAGTGTCGTCGTTGCGACTCCTCTCTGTTTCGCACACTGGTTTCTGCTTATCCCCTACACAGCGAAGCTCATGTACAAATCTCTCCTTGAATGCTGAGCTGGGTCATTCCGAGCGGTCTGCTACCTGTTGCATGCAGACGGTGAGTTGCGGCATCATAGTGACAATCTCTTAATGTTCTACGTCTTCTGGGTGTCTTGAAATTTGTTTTGAGAGATGCTGTGTGACGTCTGAGGGTTTTGTTAACCACAGCGCACCAACTGGTTCCAGGGAGTTTTTGTTTTGTGGATCAGGTTTGGTTGTGGCTCTTCATTGTCAAAGGAAGTCGTGCGCCTAGATACTTCGTGCTGTAGGGACTCGAAAATTCTGTCCAAGTGCTTCCAGCATGAGTGAAAGTAGCAGCGAATTCTGGGTGACGCGTTAGATACTCGTCAGGGTTCATGAAGAGAGGGATCTTGAACATTTAAGTTTGCAACTCTCCGTGTTTTATCCTTCCTGTTCATCTTGGATCTAGCTCTGTGCTTGACCAAGATTTCCAAATCTCGTTCACGACCAATCCAATGACGAGAGTTGTTTTCCGAGCAGTGCTGTCGCTGGCATTGTTGATGTTAGCAGTCAGCGCTCATCACTCGGGTCCCAAAATGTCCTTCTTCAACTATTCGGGGATGCAAGCGACCATCAGCTGCGAGGATCATTCATCTCAAATACTAGAAGCGGGAGAAACGTACTTTTTTCCGCTGACGCGCAGTGATCAGGCTTGCATTGTAACACTCAAGGATGGGGATCACGCCTCAGCCTCAATTAACAAGCTGTTTCCTAGCTCTTCCGATAACGGCCAATCGGTATCTGTGGATATCAATGACACCTTCCTTTTCTTTGCTGTTGACAACACGCCACTTCATGAGTACGTTAACTTCCACGACACACACAACGAACAGATCCGAGACGAGAGCTCCTTCGATCTTCTGCTTTGGTAATTGTTCTCAAAGAATCTCCTGACCAGTAATGCTTGATACTTTTTGGGCTAGAGCATGATTCTGATAACTCCTGGAGATTACATTTATGTCCGTCAGATCCGTGAGTGATCAGGAGTGCTCCACTTCTAAACCCACATTCAGGACTAGATGAGCACAAGCAGCTTCTATTGATACTCGTAGGAAGGAAGCTGGCTATTTAACGATTTTCTAGTGTAATCTTCATTCTCTCTTCACAACTGCCATGTGAAGGTCAGATTGAATGTACCAATTACCTCTTTGGTCATGCTAGAAAAGCACTGTTTAGGAGGTTCTGGCCTTGGTTTAAGAGTGAGGTCTCAATAATGTTCGTATACTGCAGGTCGATGGAGAATGCTTCAGATGACTGAACTGAAAATGCGAAGCACGCGGCATGAAGAAACTCTAGATGTTTCAACCAGAAGGATCTTGCGACGCAGTGGCAGACAGTTATAATAACTTGGTAGAACCAGCAGCGATAACCGAAGCGGAGTCTCCTCCATGAAGGTCCACTGCGAACGTTAAGATCTACAGTTTCCTGTCATGAATATTAGGAACTTTAGATCTTGGTGTGAAATGAGCCTGTAACACAACGCGTGGAATCCAGTTCCCAGCACACAGTGAGTGGATCTAAGAAAATTTTGATCGTCGATCCTTATATAAACAGATCTCCGCGAGATGCACTTCAAGTTCAAATATCGGTATATAGTGTTGCTCTGCCGTGAAAGATGGCAGGTTTTCAGATCATTCTGCCATATTTGTTTTATTTGATGTCTACAATGCACACAGTTTAGAACCACAGAGTTTAATTCGTTTCCTTACAGACTGGTTACTGATTATGAAGTTCAGTAAGTTTAAAGCAATTGCTCGCGGCATTAGTCCTGGAATTATCTTTCCCTCCACAGTCAGCTCTCACATGTACATTGATGTTGCATGTAGCAATTCCAGCTTGGTGAAAAGCCATGATAGTTGAATATAAAACTAGAAATATGAAGGCAGAATGCTTGAAAGCAAATTCATAAGGTCACAAACTAGACAACGCAGTGATAATACAAAGTGATACATGTTACAGATTTAAGTCGCTTTTGTAGACAACCTGACAGCTGAAATTCCCACATTTTTCTAGACCAGTCTCCCAACCATGAAGTAAATAATTACTATTTACATTACGGTGTTCACGAACTTGCAAGTTCTATCGTCACGACACTCATGAAAGGCTTAACGTGAAGGGCAACAGATGCAGAATGCTAACAAACTGCGTTGGCAAATTTAGCAGCGTCGATGAGAATCTTCCTTAACAACTTGGATGAGAAAACGTAGTTGTCGTCCCCCATAAACCCTGGAAATCACGTCCAACCATATCCAACAAAATTATGGAAGACGAGAACCATAATAACAATCCAATTTGAAAGCAGCTCTGTAATTACGTCCGATTAGGAGCACCGTTGCCAATTAGGGCAATCGGCATGAAACTGACTTTACGAGACTATCTCATAAAACCGGCCGCGTTACTAATAATAAAATATGCTGCAACTAATTTCCAGCATCATCTATAAATCCGATGCTTTTTAATGAAGAGCCAAGGTCATAAATAACGTACAGCACAGCGATTCGCACAATATCCAGAGGATACTGACAAGTGTGGTGATCAGCGTACCTCCTTGTTTGAGGTGAAGGAGACGAAGACTGAGATTGCATGTTCTGCGGCACATAAAGTTCATCCATAGACAACTATACAGTTGGTATTAAGTGGCTCGGACCAGGGACACCAACATCTTCCAGAGAAAGGTGGCTACTCAACCTCTCGGTTGACAGCCATCGACAGACCTGATCAACGGGTGCTACCAAACGTCCTGCATTCTCCCTGGGTATCCTGAATGGACTGTTCATAGATACAAGCCTTGCGGTAACCGCTGCCTTCAGAGGTGAATCTCCCTCTATTTTACTACGCCTTCCCCAGCCCGTTATAACAGTAACCTGCACAATTACGCATCATAGATTCGTCATCTAGAAACAATCACAATGCCTAAAGACTTTTACTACCTATAAATATCTTTCTTTGCAAGAGGGTAAAGAACACCAAAAAAATGTTAAAATAAAATGACCGCCTTCCGGAATCAAGATAAACACAGGAAACGGTAATCACTTCTAACAAGTCAGGATCAGAGGAAATACATACCTGTTCATAAGGAGTGTCTTCTTTGATGCACGTAGATTCCATTTCAGAAAGCCAAGAGACGAGCATCACTTGGGCTACGTTTACAGATAGAAGATGAAGATCAAGTAAGAGTTCCTCATCCGCCACAACTCTTGCCTGAGGGAACACATCCCGCTCTCGTCCAGCCATGAGCACTTTCCAGGCACGACCTCTCCATCCAAAACACCACAGTGCTTCAACCAAAGAATCATACAGAACCAGTCGTGATGCAGTCCCCTCGGACTGCAATGCGTCAAAAAGGACCGTAGCTTCAACCCATAAAAATTTATCACCCAGGCTCTCTGCGCTTTCCTCTAGTAGCCATGCAATGACACCAAAGCCTTCACAGTTCCGTATACAATTCAGAAGTGCTGAAACGTCCTCGAGCAAGCGGCAAGAGCACAATGCAGTGAGCAGAACACCAATGGTTTCACAGCTCGGCTCAGTCCCCGCTTCCTTCAAAGCACTAAACCGTACTGCCATGTCCTGAAAAATCCGTCCACGTCTTCGTTAATGATCGAATAACTTTCAAAGAGGGCAGCTTTAGCACATTATAGACAATAACTTACAACTGTAGCTGTTCAATTAACGATTAACCTACCTGAAACCTTTTCGCGCTTCCATAGGCATTAATAATGGACGTGTAAGCAACCACATTCATCTTTATTCCAGCCTTGAGCATCTCATCTAGTACAGCTTCAGCTTTTCCCACCATTCCTAATTTGCCATAGCCGTCGATCAAAGCACTATAAGTGTGTTCATTGGGAAATACTCCCTTCACGCGCATCATCACATACGTGGAATCCATCTTCTCCAGTAACTCTGCCTTCCCATAAGCGTTGATTAATGCACTGCAAATGTAGCACCTCCAGAATAAAAAACCACCCTCAAAAAGTACGCGACTGCATACAAATGATAATTTCCCAGAGAAGCCCACGATGTACAGGATATGTAGCTGCAGATAAAAATCAGACCAAACCCTTTGTGTGCATAATCGTGTTTATATGTACGTGAAAGATGAAAGAAAAGAAAACAGTAAAGAAGTTGTGATGGAGTTACCTGTAAGTGATCACGTCAGGACGATAACCAGTATTTTGCATGGCCTCATGTGCGGATTCCATCTGATCGATAAGTTTACCTTTGCCATAAGCATCAATGATGACATTGTAAGCAGCTGTGCCAAGCCTTGGTCCACCGAAAGGCATTTCCTTAGCAGCTTCCTACATTTACAGGCAAGAGTAGCTTCAGATACCATTCTTTGGTGATCGTCTTTACAACTGATAAAACATATTTGTTCCATCAAGATTGATCAAGTTCTACATGCGCACTACAAAAAATTCATTGTTTAAAGATAAGATTGAGTGCTAAATTCAAGCTTAATACCAAGCATATTTGTACATGCCAAAACTGCAACAGACGAATTCATAAATTATAGACATTGAGCTTTTATCTCCTTATTACAAATGCAGACTTTGACAGCCTAGTTTAACTTTCTGTGTAAAACGACAAACCTCGAGTTCCTGAAACCTAGCCTCCATTTTGTCGTATAAACCACACCGGCCATATGCACTGATTGTTGCAACAAAGGCAGAATAATCAGGCTGAAGGTTCAAATCCTTCATGATCTTCCAAACTCGCTCCATTTCCTCATACTTCCCTGCTTTTCCATAGGCATCTAACATACCTGTGTATGTCACAATGTTGGCTTTGCATCCAGCCTCTTGCATTTCCTGTTATTCACATTGCATAGCCGTAAGCTAACTTTTACTTACCTATATCCTTAACGGACACAACACTACTCCTTAAGAATGACGCATAAACCTTGAAAGCAAATGAACATCCTCTTATTCTGGTCATTTAGATGAAATCTCAGAGTTTATAGAACCATAGAACACGGAACCAAACTGGTATTTGCAGAAATAGAGGTCTTTCTCACAAGTGACTGAAACCTCTCGATATGAAAAGATAAGTTAGAACTTTAAAATCTTGTGTGCAAGAAATATAAAACTGAACAAAAGTAAACAATCCAACTTGTACCTGCAAGGTAGCCTCCATTTTCTTCAACATTCCTCTCTTGCCATAAACATCAATAAGAAGGCTGTAGGCTGTCACATCCGGCTTACAACCTGCTAGCTGCATCTGTTCCAAGATCTTATCCATCTTTTCAAACTGGCCCCCTTTTCTGTACGCGTGTATGAGTGAGCTATAAGTCAGGATGTCCCCTTGACAACCTGCAGATTGCATTCTTTCAAAAGTTTTTTCCATGCTTCTGTGTTGAGATCCTTTACCATATGAATCAATCATAGTGTTATATGTGAAAGTATCAGGGGTATAACCTGCAGCAATCATAGCATCCAATGCCTCTTCCATTTTGTTCCAGAGACCTCCTTTTCCATAAGCACCAATGACAACATTGAATATGGGGCCAGACAATTTCAAGTCTAATGCTACCATTTCGCTAAACAATGCATCAATCTTCTCCCACTGTCTGGCTCGTCCATGTGCAGCCATCATGCAGCCATATGTGGTAGCATTGGGTTTACAAGAAGGAGTTTCTTTCATCTTTTGAAACACGGACACTGCCTTCTCAAGCATACCAGCCCGCCCGTACGCATCAAGAAGGGCGGTGAAGACATAGACATCTGGATCAAAACCAACAGATTTCATTTCATCAAATAGTTGAAGAGCTCGTTGGGGCTGGTTGGCTTTAGCCAAAATGCGGATCATCCGGGAATAAATGCGAATATTTGCTTTGAACCCTTCTGCTTGTTTCATAGCTGCGAACACCTGTCCACAAGATGGTAACACTCTTTCAGCAAAAGAGACTAAAATGCATAACAACTGCATCCTTATTTGACGTCCTTACGACAACATTCAAGAATGATTGTTCCAGATTACGAACCAAGGAAAAGCTACGGTTGAATAGCGTAGTGTCAGTGGAATGGTCTTCCCTGAGTCAAGCTAAAATAGAATATAACAAACCCACATCCGCTGAATGAGGAACGAAAAATGTGATAAGTAAGTTGGTAATCTCTCGATGAAGAAGGGTGATAACAAAGATTCATGCTGGCAATAGCAATCTTTGAAGAACGTGAAATCCATATCCGCTTTTCTTCACACCATGACTGAACGTATGATAGTGCACAGAAGGGGAGAGATAGGTCTTCCTACGACACATGATCATACACCAACTCCACTAAATCACTTGAATCAATAAAACGAGCCAAACGTTCCAGAGGTGAGGTACTATGAATCACTTACATCGAGCGCGACACGCCAATTACGCTGCTTTGAACAATCATTAAGCATAGACCAGAGCTTTGACTCTGATAGCCCTGACAGTGAGGATTCTGGTCCCTTGCTGAAATAAGAACGAGTACGAGATGGTTGCTCACATGCTCCTGGAGAACCCTGGACCTCCCTTGAAGCGAGCTTCGAGTACTGACCAGGTCTGGCCTTACCTGGAGCCTTATCCAAAAGAGGTACTGAAGGTGCAGAAAGACTTGGAGATCTGGGTTTTCTCGCCGACTGGAATTGTTTTCCTGGCAGCTGATCCCTTGAAAATTCGGATGCCAACTTTGTTGAAGTTTCCGCAGGTTGGAAGCTTTTTTCAGAAGAGTTAGCACATTTTACAGTTAAGTACTGAATCCTCTTCGTCGCTAGTACAGGTGTAGTTTCTGGCCATAAGGACACAGGCAAATCTCTTGGTACAGATACATTGTTTAGGTGCCTCATTATATGCTGTGAAATTTCGATGCCAAATCGACCTTTGACTGCACACGACTGTATGTTGAGATCCGTGTTACACCTGCACATGGTAAATAAATGTCAAGAAATTTCAAAAGCTATATCAATTTCAACTATTTAATAGCTAATCACAGCTTTGGAGAAAGTTACACACTGCAGGCCTGTCTACATGAAATTTAAATCACAAGAAGAAGGACACTAAATCGAGGTTAAATAGACGCTTCAGCTCTCTGTTGAAAGTCTGTAAAGTTTTAGGAATTGTGTGAAAAAGTTCAAGTTACCCAGATATCTTTGCAACCAGTAAACCCTATATCTGTGCGAATACACTCAGAACACAAAACGCACATAAGTTTGACAAGTGCTGGATCAACGTGGCCTGAATCTGCACGAACAACGAGTGCCTTGGAATGTTCGTCTCGCGAATATGTAGCGAATTGGCTCACATTTCTACAGCCAAATTTACGTAAAAACATTCATTCGAATTGCCTACAGTTCGAAAAACAAGAATTGAGAGTGCGTTCACGAATTCCGCACCTGGTGTTAGAGTAATGAACCCCAGTCAGCGACAGCCGACCGTGCCCTGCCTCCGCCACGAAAGCCATGGCTGAATCAAGCCTTCAATTCGAACCAGGAAATCCTATATGCGCGTATACTATAGCCCGCATTGCTCAATAAAGTACAAAAAATGAATTTACGACTAAAAATCATTCAACTCAACTCTAATTGGCTCCCAATCGCCGAAAACGTAGCTGCCACAGCTTTCAGCTCCGAACACGCCTTCGCACTCAACCACTGAAGCTCTCCCAGAACGAAACAGCATTCATGTCCTTGCCAACTCTGGCTCCACACTGGCCATACCTCACTAAGTGCAATTCATCTGCAAATTTTGCGACTCTAACATATGGAGAGTTGTGCTTCCTACACAGGTTAATTCAGACATCAGCATAATCCTAAAAAATAAATAAATAAATAAATAAAAACCCACGATTATAATCTTTCCCAGAAACATTATCAGGGATCCGTCGAGAGATATTTGTGGGTGGCATGTTTAACTGAAATGCTACAAATCGATGCTCCAAGCTCGCATTACGCGTGTACTTGGTTAAGAAGGACTCACAGGCCAGAGCGTTCCACGGCTGTAAAGCATCCGTGGCGGATGGCAAAGCTTGCAAATGTGGAGAAATCGCAGATGAGATAAGAAATGGCGCCAGCTAGTGAATCCCAGCTTGGCCACGCTCTCCACCATCCCCCATTGTCGACGAAGGGCTAACATGAAAAGCGAGCTTTCATGCGACGAACGAGAAAAGTAGCGTTCGTCGATCGCTGCGTTTGTCCTCGTTCGTTAGTATAATTTCCGTCCGAAATAATGGATGATGGTGGACTACGCTCATTGGACTCTCACACAGTTGAACTATGAAACCCAAGCATTCAAGCGTTTTTTTACTACTTGATGCAGAGCGCAGACAATCTACACCAGTGGTCAGTTTCTAATGTCGAACGTGTCGGTGTGCGTGCGGTTTCGGCCATTAAATGCTCGAGAGTCCCTTCAAGCATCTGGCGCGTCTTGCATCCGTCAGCTTGACAATGAATGTGTCATGTTTAAGGTGAGCACACTGGACATGGAATTGACTAAAACCGGCTTCTGCAATGGAAAGTGGTAGGATTGGATTTTTACAGTTATTTCTTGTAGTCTTCTCTTATTTCTTGTTCAAATATTCAAGGGGTGCCTAACACGCACCCCGAAGGATGATGTCTGGCTTGAACTTTAATTTTCACAATAAATCTAGTTGTTCTGAATTTGGAATGTGAAAATTTATCTGTCGTTGACGTCTTTACTCGATATGTGTATGCAGCAACTGATCATGCATTTCAGACGCGATTGTTTTGCAAGAACCTGTCGAATTTGCATGATGATATGCAATCGGAAACTAATCATTTGTCTCTTTGTGCAATTCGTCCGATGTTGACAGGATGAAAAAGATCAAGAAGAAACAACCTTCACATTTGACAGGATATTTTACGAAGATTCCTTTCAGGCAGACGTATTTGACTTTGTCGCCTTGCCTATTGTAAGAGGTGGACAATCTTTCTCTGGTGCACCTCTCAATTCGAGTTTCCATTGGAAGTTGCATCTAAGGCGTTTGTAAGTATATTGTTATGGTGTCAGCCACGTCTTTGTTGTTTTAGTAGTTTTCCGTACGAGATTGAGGATATATACAAATGAGATACTTTCAGATGTGATCTCTGAAAGTGTTCTAAGGTGTCTCGCAGATGCTATGAATGCAATCAATGGAACGGTTCTTACCTACGGCCAGGTTTGTTATTTATCGAAAGAGCTTTTGTATTCTAGCTTGTCATTCTCCGATTGCTATATTTTCTTCTTCTATTCAAAATAACAGAAATGCACGTAACAATTCCATGAAAGAATGTCAACCTTAAGCGCATACCAGTAATCCGTGTAGAATACTTTTTTTAAGAACAGCAGTCTTTCCCCCGCTGATTGTTTCTGTGGATCAACTTATGACGCAGACTGGAGCGGGGAAGACACACAGCATGGAGGTAAGTGTTTCTCGATTAGCTAGGCCTCTATAAAATGCACCTAGGCGTAAATGCATGTTACAGGCTGCTTGATAAGAAAACGATTGATAGCTGTTGATGAACTTCGCTACCAGTAGTTTGTTCAGATCATTGTGTCCAGCAGAGGCCCTATGCAACCATCTGTTCCCAAAGCAGTACATACCAAATTTGTGAATTCATGTAGGGACCGAGCATTCAGACCAACGATCCAAAACTGAAAGGAATACTTCCCAGAGTGACGCAAATCATCTTCGACCTAATTGAGAGAGCTGACGAGGCAGCCGAGTTCCTAATAAAGCTGTCAATGGTTCGTAATTTTCCACACCTTTAAAGCCAGTTCTTCATTTTACTATACATGGCATTTTATCAGGCTACAGAACGACAATCTACGTGGCTCATACTGAACCTGTGCATGCCCTGTTATTTTCACAGGTAGAGATATACATGGAGAAAATTAGGTGAGATGCAAATAATGGATCATTGACCTCCTCTGAGCGAGTGTTTTCTAATAACAGCAACATTTATATGTAAGAGGATAACTTGCAGGGACCTATTGGACACCAAGAAGGACAACTTACAGGTGAAAGAAAATAAATTACACGGGATATTTGTAGCGGGAGTTACTGAGGTGCGTATTCTTCTATCACCTTAGAATAGCCAGGTCTGGCTGCGTATAGTGGATCTGGATTAATTTGCATTTGTGTGGCACGCTTTGCAGAAATATGTGCAGTCGGAGAAAGAAATGCTTCAGATTCTCCAGGCGAGTATACCTTAGCAATCAGCAAGCCGGTTTAACTGGTATATTGTGATGTACTATGTTTTCTAATGATTTTGACCTGAATCATGAAGAACTAAGATTTCAAAGCAGAACTGGACTGGAATATTAATTGAGCATCCTGATTTGCCCAGACTGGTCTAGCAAACCGAGCCGTCGGCCAAACTTGTATCCTTTAAGTGCTCCAATAAATATAGACTGTCAGCCTTTCAACTAAGGGGGTGAAATGCTCGCGAAATCTGATGACTTGCGTTTATAAAAATCTAATATTAAGCAGAATTCTAGGGTAAAATCAAGTGTTCTCAACTGAACAGAATATAAGTCATCTCGTATAGGTTGTGGAAACAAGGTGCTTGCTGCGTCCGCAGGATCAAAGCATCCTAATGACACCTATGCTTTTCCATAACCTATTTTTAAAGTGATGAATTGCGAGAGCAGCAGAAGCCACTGCGTCTTCCTTTTAACTATCCAACAGTCGGATATTGAAGATCGAAGGTACTTTTGCATGCATCAGTGTGCTCATCTTCTACTCCTAACATGCTCCGAAAAACTAAGCAGCTTATATAAGCTTGTATACCTTATATAAGCAGCTTATAGACCTTTTACACATCATCATTTGTTGTATTACTTTAATATCTTCAAACAAACGGCAACGATTATCTTCGTCGCATGTGGCAGTATAAAGACCGGAAAAATCTACCTTGTAGATCTCGCTGGATCAGAAAAAGTGGAGAAAACAGGGGCTGAAGGAAAACTTCTTTGTGAAGCAAAGACAATCAACAAGTCACTTTCAGCACTCGGCAATGTCATCAATGCGCTTACCTCTGGTGAGTTGCTACAGTCCCATATTTTTAAAGAAAAACTGGTTAGAACATTGTTTCATGTAGCAGTGTCGTACAAATCGCCATTTTCCTCGTGAATGTTAAGCGGGATTTCGAAGATGTTGATTGAGTCAGGAGCTTTGAATTGCAGATAAGCCGTGCCATGTACCCTATCGTGACTCAAAATTGACTCGAATCCTTCAAGACTCGCTGGTAACTAACCGCATTGTTGATGGAATTTTTTTGACAACATAACATGCCGTCATAAATTTGTATAATTTGTATCATTATCTTATGTAGCCACAATTAAGCAGAGTGTCCTCAGGCTTGAAACATTCAAGAGTTGTGAAACCTGAAACAGGGGGGCAATTCTAGAACAGCTCTTCTTTGTTGCTGCTCCCCAAGCACCCTACATGCTTCAGAAACGTTGTCGACGCTGCGGTTTGGAACCAGGTGGGTTAATTGGCGCCTGACGAGCTGAACCAAATTTGAATAAGTTGAGGTTCATAGTTCATCGAAACTTTGCCTTGAATCTAAGCAAGTTCCAGATGCACACTTCTGACTGTTTGGAATGAACCTTCCAACCATGAACATTCTCGACGATCGATAATCGACGAGTGGCATTAACGTTTCTATTCGCAATCGCTTGTACACCTCGCAGAGCGAAACTGATTAAAAATAAGCCCAGAGTGAATTCGGAAAGAGGACGCCACGAACTTGAATCTCTGCTGCAGAAATCATATCAAGAGTGCGACCAGTTGCGAGCACAACTTCTTATGTCCAGTGCACGATTGCGCTCCTTGAACCAAGGTTCTGCGTACATAGTTCTTAAATCTCAATCTGAGTAACTCAAGTTTATTTAAAATGAATTTGACTATCCGCGCATCACTGGATTAGAACCAAATTAATCCTTGTAGCTCCATGATTTTTAACAGGGATGCCATTTGACGCCGAGGCCAACTTAAAGGATAGTATTGACCCCGTCAAATTAAGCGACAAGGTGCAACACAACCCTTACATTCAAGCAAATGACTTAAATCATATCATTCCTGTATTATCTGTCTCACATGGATTCCTTTGCCCATATGCAGTTGATAAATAAGTTTCCAACACGCCTTCCCCAAACGACAGGCGATGTATTTGAACTTCACAAGGAGATCTTCGTCGAAAGTCTCCTTGAAGAGAGCTTCGACAAGACTCAGTTTTCCGATCTAACAGATTACAAGTGTGATGAAGAACATTACGCTCAGGAGCAACTTCGTCAGCATTTGGATGAAGAGAAATTGTTTCTCTCCGCTCAAGATGACACTGCCAAGACAATCAGGGTTCTGCAGGAATCTCTAGAGAAACTCATGGATGAAAAAAGCAAGGTCAACCCTGAACTGCGTGTCAATTTCACTACTAAACGTAGCACTTGGCTTTCACATTGGGGGTAACTCGTGACATTACCGCTGAAAACATTATGGTTCAGATCCAAAGTTCTTTATACATGCATGATCATCTCCACATTGTCTTAAGATGCTGTTTATGACATTGCAGCTTGAGAAATTGAACAAGGGCCTGGAAATGGAGCTTTTGGCCTGCATGCGTCTTCTTCATGATCCAACAAAAGGTGGTGATCAGTTTACACCAATGTCAGATGATTATCAGATGATCAGTTTACTAGTGGTCGTTACCTCCATCGAAACCGGTTAGCATCGCTGGAGAGACTTGAAGGCCTGGAGTACTTAATGCCACAATTTCGATTTGTTTATGTGTGTATGTTGACAACATTTGCGTCGCACAATTTGCATTTGGGTTTGGAGGAAAACGAACAATCGATAGAGAGTAGACTCTCAACTGATACTTCTAATAATCAGTATTATTCAGAGGGTTTGTTTTGTTGGATTTCGTGTGCCTTCGAACAATTAATTTAATCAGCGTGTGTGGATTCTTGTTTTGACTGGAGCAGCAGCTGTTGGTATGAAGTGGCCAACGATCACATCTTCTGTTCATGGGAGAATCCATGCCAATCCTCGATCAGCTGTTCAATGTCAGTTCAAACTCTTGAACATGATCGATACTGCATCCATTTGCTGTCTATGGAGATCCTCCTTAACTAAGGTTAGGAACATTATTGGTCAAACGAGAAGGGCTTAATGCTGAAAATGTTCGTGCAACAAACGAAGATGGTATGAGGCAGTTCAATAGACATTTATTGGGACCCCGAAGCTACTGTTTGAGGAAATGTGTAACTTCCTGGACAACGTTTCCATCGTCCATCCACCATATCGGTGTCAAAATTTCAATCCCACATCGGGAAGAACTTCAGCACCTTCCACTGGTGCAAGAACACAAAACGCAATTATCCAGATTACCATCAGTGTCAAACCAAATTTCCTCCACTTCCCATATCTCCTGTATCTTATATTCTCTTTTTCCAACAGTATTGTTGTATATCCACAACCATGATTGAAATAAATGATATCAACAACAATCTAAACAAAATGGTTTTTAGTTAATATGATAAGATATGAATATATATATATATATATATATATATACAGACACACACACATGCATATGCATATGCATATACTCATATATTAAAGTGAAATTCTAATATAAATATTTGAATTATGGTTTATTTTATTCAATAATTTTGAATATTTTAAATATGTTTTTTTTTCAAATTTGTTCAGGATTTTTAATATAATATAAAATTTTAGTTTAATTCAATATTCAAAATATACTTCAAATTTTTTAATGTTATCAAAGTCCTGTTTTATAACAATAAAACTTAAAAGTATTAATTGAAATTACCAAAATTTATTTATTCCTAATTGATAAAGAGTATCTTAACGAACATGTTAAATTTGATCAGAATTAAAATAACAAATAAGACTTAATAATAAATTCTCATACCCTCCATTTTTAATCAAACTAAACAAGGTTGATGACAAGCATTGCATTGGCTACATTATGGTTAAAAATTGTCTTGGTAATATGAAAGTGCAAAAAATTTAATGTGTTCCAGACAAGTTAAGAATATAAATCTGGTTCAAGATTATCCTTGTGAATCATATTGACTTTCTTCGTCAGTCATATTTGCGATGGGTCTCACAGCCCATCACACATGCACTATCTGGTGCTTATTTGCATACCTTCTGGAGGCAGAAAAAACACTACGTTCGTTGCTTGCCTTCGGTGCTGACCAGCCCAGGTTTGAGTAACCATGAGGTGCAATTCCATCTAAATACTCTAGATGACAATGCACAGCCATGAGAGGAACCTTTGATGGTTGGAGAGGCAGTCTCTCCACGGATCTGAGCAAACTGTGCAAATCAGTCAGTCAGATCCTGTGACAGTGCTTGGTTGCTTCATTTCCTGTTTGCAATAAAATGAATCTGCAACATCTCTGCTGATTGTAAGCTTCTATTCAACTGGAAGTGGATGCATTCGTTCATGGATTCGATGTTGATTTTGGCACTCGTAAAGTTAGACCCCAATTCTTTCTGTTTGAAGATAGAAGCTTCTTTGAATGGCAGCGAGAGGACTCGAAGTTTGATGAGCTCAAGACTGGATGGAGCAGAGTCTGTGGTAGAGATTTTCTCCTCCTAACACATAAAAGAAAGTAATTTTTTTTACGAACGAACTTTAGAGATTCAGTGAAAGATTGTTCAATGGCTTGAAACACGATCAAAACTTGTCATCAGCATGCCAGGTAGAGCATGGTGGGGATTATATACCAGCGCAGGTCAGGAGAAGGGGTCTGGAGGAGCGGACTTTGCCCATCACTGTGAAAGCCGACGGGACTGGAACATTACGACATTACAAATCGGACTCAACTGTGATGAAACTGGAAAAGCTCGAATTCAACTGCAGATGAAATGTCCAACTACGGACCGAGTGGCCGACAGCTAGAGGTACTGTGTCAGTCGAAAAAACACCCGAGCGACAAGACTGCTTTGCGGTCGAAGTCAGATGGAGACCTCTCTAACAAATTTTGCTTCAGAGAAGCTGAGAGGAAGCAATTCATGAATGACCAAACCGTCGAGGAAGGGCAATCGCTTAGGTTCGTTCGTACAGTTGATTTGATGTTTGGTTTTTCACAGGGCACATGGATCGCCTGATCGCCATTAATATTTTCCAACAACCTTTCACAAAAATAGCTTCTCTGTATCATGTCGACCTTGCACAAGTTTGTGATAACTTTCGGATTTGGGTTGATCAAGAGCAAGCTCGAGAGGGACCCACGTTGCAGCCCATCAGCATTCTTGCAAGTGGCGAATTCATCTCACAACTCCAACGCTGAGCTCGACCACAATGTAGGATTCTCGTACCAGTTCCCTCCTCGACGTGGCATTTAACATGACCTATAACAGCGTCGTTGAAAATCGTACAAGGATCACACAGACAACAGAACGACTTGCTTCGCAACAACGATAATCGCAAAGAAAAACTCCAAGAGGATTGAAAGACACAAATCACAGGACTCCTCTTCTGAAAGTAGTATGCAGACGTTGAAACTGCAGTAAATAAATAAGACCAATTCAACTGCAACTATGAACCACATACATCTTATCAACAAACAAAACACGATTTTTCAGTAGAAGTTGTCGTCGCTTAGAACTAACTTCAGACAAAGCCAACGGTAGTCGCTCTTTTCCAACTCTTGAATCATCACATTGGTACAAGTATCCAGCCACTATGTAGTCATTACATGCATAACCTACTTCTCTTCCTCAATATCGATTTTTTACACTCCTATCAAAATTGTGAGTTGTACAAGAAACCCTATATGCTTGAAGGTTCCTCAGCTAGTGAAAGGTATGATGTAAAATAACATGCCCTGTATCGAAAAATTCCATAAAAGCGTTTGACGATGGGCATCAGTCTACACGAAGAGAACCATTACAAATCATTTTGATGTGAGATACTTCCATGCAGTAGTGAAGTAACAGAGTTTGACACGAGTTGAGGACTTAGGAGATTTCGGCGAATCAATCATGAATGCCCAACATGACATGATGAAAGACACTTGCGATGTTCGTCCTCCAAGTGCCACAAAAAGTGGGAGTAATTGCCCGCATGATAGGGGTTGGTGGGATCCAAAGCAGCAGCGGCCCTGAAAGCTCTTTCTGCAGTTTCCTTGTCGCCGCGAGCGAGCCACAAAAATGTTGCGAACCTTCCAAGCACTTCCCCATCGGAAGGGTCTGCACAAATGGCACGGTGGAAATACTCTTCCGCCCTGAAAAATGAAAAAACCAGCGTCAAAACAAAAGACGAATAAACCCACATCAGATAAAGCCGGTAAACATGCTCATTGTTACTAACAGTGTCCACAATGAATCAAGAGTCACATATTATTACCTGTTGTTGTCATGACGAACAACGTAAAGAAACTGCGCATAGTTGGAGAGTAGCATCACATTGGTTGGTTGCATGTCGATGGCGTGCTGATACTCGAGGTCTGTCCGATCAAAGCAGAGGTAGTTATCTGGGCTCACGGTGACTTGCACGGGAGCAACAAGCCCCTTCGCAACCTTACGGTCCACGAACGTAAGCGATGACCATCCTGAGCTTGCCTCTTGCTCCTTTGTGACCTCAGACATCATTCTCTGCATGATGAACTCTTCGGCAGCAGAAAATTTAGGAGCAAATCCATTCATGGCTTCATTCGTTACTGGGGAGATATCCACAGATTCAAGCTTGGGCGAAGGTGCAGCTTTCCGTCGTCTTCTCAACTCCTTCATGAAACCGGCTGCGACGTCTTCTTTGACTGGAGCAGCAACATCATTCGAGACCGGAGTCTTCGGGTGCGCCATGGCTATAGCCCCTGCTAAAGCCACATCCTTACCCAAAGAATGAACGGAGAACTCCGCAAGCAAGACAGTGATGGAGAGCATATATTGCGGCGTACGTGAGAAAACTTGCTGGAAGAGCCAAGCGAAAGACAGGTCTATCTCCCGGTGCATTGGTGTCACAAGGCTCAGCGCGTAGTTTTCTTCCATCTCTAAAGCATGTCCATGCATACTCTTGATGATAAATACCATTGCTGAGAAGGCATTGCTGAAGGCACATGAACGATGAATTGCTACATTTTTTTCTTTACAGTTCCGTCGCTTTAAACTTCGCGGCAGAGAAGACATCTTCAAATCCGACACATCTTTGGCTATGCCAAGAATCCCCAAGTCTTTACAAGGCTGTACACTGATATTGGAAGATTCTGGCAAAAGTCTAGCAACAGAAGGCGGTCTGGCGGGAGCAGAACACTCAGGTTGCATCTTTAGAGAAAAATCTAGCCTGTCCTTCAAGGAATCAAAGGACTGCTGCACTTGCTCCACCACGATGGACTTCTTGGACGCCTTCGGCGTTACTATGTGACCCGTGGAATTAGCACGCATGAGTCCTGTACCGAAGCTATTACTTGGCGGAGGAAATGAGCCAGTCCCCTTGCCTGTGCCAAAACTTTGACGTTCCTGTGCAATAGATTGAGTGGAAGGGAACTTGTTTTTATGCATCATACCTCCGGGCCGAAAAGTATTCTCATGTGTTGAGAAATCCCACTTGCGCTCCTCTTCAAACCTCCCCCGTCTCTCATTGCCATCCGCATTTTCCATAACGTTACTGCTAACTTCTAAGCTTTCCAGGCAGTCTTTGCTAACTGGCCTCCTCATCAAAGAATGTTCCTCAAGAGTCTTCCTAGTCGAGCTGCTGCCGAGAAAATCTGAGAGCGCAGAGCCTACTGATAGCGTCCGCCGAATGGAACTCGTGCCTTGCCCTGTTGGTCCTTTGTTTCCTGCACCCAATCCTGCAATAGCTCTCCAGTCCATCTTTGGAGAGCTGTTCCCAAGGGTCAGTGACCCTTGCCGCCTTACCATGAACCGTCCTTCTTCGGGGAGAATGTCAAGCGACATTGGGGTAAGCAGGGTTGCTGCCATGGCAAGGGGCAGGTTGGACGACTACGCAGAAAAAAATCCAACGAAGACAAGCTCAACGTTGCTCGCAGACGTGAGAATCCAAGCACATCACACGAATAAGCAGAGAAGCAGAATTATTGTACACTCAGATTCTTGGGCAAATCCCAGGTCAAACCGTTCACCAAAACCAAGACCTAGTAGCCCTCGAAACCATGTGGAAGAAGGTTGCTATTGCGTTCGTCATATCTCTAGCATCTAAAACAAAAGCACTTGTCACCGCCACCACAACAGGTGCTCGTTGCAAGAGAGATTTCGACACAGAAACTTTCTCGAGAGCACAGAACTTCACCGACTGCCAATCCTAAAGTCTGCAGATGCGAGAGTGAACGACCTCACCACAAAGCGATTCCAATCTGCGATACGCAATAAGATAGCAATCACTTGACGTTTAGAAGAGGATAAAAATCCTTCAACGGACAGTTCATGCTCTCCTCACGACACCGAAATAAGGGGTTGCACGGAAGTAGAACCTAGCTATCCAACTGCTCCACTCGCTGCAAACACCCTCCACGATGAATGATGAGAGGAGTCAGCAAAATCCGCAACCAGAACCTATGTGCACGGTGCATGCATCACGAGATCGAGTACCCTTGGTTCCCAGACGCAAAACGACAGTCTACCGCTTGGTCTCCTCCATCTCCACCTCCTAAACTCGTAAAAGCTTCACGAAACTCCCACCCGGAAGCGACAAGCGCAATAGGAGGTGCCCAACGCTGCAGCAGACAGCTGGTGTCCTCCGCGAAGATTCTGGGCAGCAGTGGACGTAACACAGCAAAATGTATCTAGAAAAATCTGCACAAAAGTCGCAGAAAGAAAACTCTTCCGAATTTTAATGTAGAGGGACTGACGGGCCTCTACTTCCTTCTCCCCACTCCATTTCACTCCCTTCTACCTCTCCCTTCCATTTCCACTTCCGTCAAGGGAAAGATCAGGAATACTCACTACCTCCTGCTCAGAATATCTTTCCAGCAACCTTTTCCCTTACTGCACTGCCTAACCTATGTCTCAAAGAGTAGATTAAACACAATTCTCAACCTAATGAATATCCACCATCCTGCGACGAGCACAGACCCTCCTCCGCAATCGAATACTTCGTCAGAGGACGAGAAACGAACGTGGTGGTAGTGCCGGAAGAGGATTCATCGGTGCCTTGGTTGTAGGAGAGACACCGGGGAAAGAAGACGGACGGACGAACCAACGAACGAACGGAAGGACAGAGGCCAGTGCTGAGCGTGCTATTGGACGGAAGCGTGCTCAATGCCGACGTGGCCAAACGGATGGATGAATAAATGTGGATTATGAATGAACGATGTGCAAGTAGATCGATGGGGGGGATGGATGAAGGGAGTGGGCAGGTGTGCCCACGCAACCTAACACTTCAGTCTCTCGGGTTAAGCATAGCGTCTGGCCCGGACGCAGAGGCCGCTTTTTTCCAGCCGCTCCATTTTCAAGAGAACCCGCCGCAGCTTCTAACCTCCCGCGCATGCCGTTCCACCCATCGTTGTCCTGCTCCACGCCGTGCTTTTTAACACTTTTTTTTGTTGCCCGAGGGATGGCTGCCCCGGACTCCTCTGAACTAGGGCAGCAGGGAAACTTCTGTAAAATGGATTTTTTTTTTTTTTTAAATACTGTTTGAATATTGGGATGTGTTGAGACGCATGTTGGAATGTTTAGCATCTTTGAATGGGTATATGGGTTTTTTCTCTCTTTTTTATTCTCCTTTTTAATATTTTTTACCTTGAATGGCCCTTGAGTATTCATTTACTTTAGAGCACTTGTTCATTGACTCCTTTTCAACATTCTTTGTTTTTCAAAGTAGTAATAACATGAAGTCATGCTTTTCAGAGAGGTATGACTGAAACAGCCATTTCATGGCTTGATGAGTTAGCATTCTTTTTTAAACAAAACAATAGGAAGAAAAATGAACAATGATTTGTGGTATGATGTGCTTTGATTAAAATTTGAGATGATTACACATATAAGTTCATCATATGCAAGCACTGTTTTTTCAAAAAAAATAATCAAATATGAACATATATATATATATATATATATATATATATTACATTGAAACTAACAAGAAGTGTACTTTAAAATTAATTAAGATTTGAAGAAAGAATTTTACTCTTGTTAAATTATTAAAACAAATTACACACTAAACAGTAATTAAGTAGTAGATTTTCTAAAGACAAACTAGAATTATATTTGTACTTTTTAAATTCATTACTCCCACTTTAAAATTCAAACTGATTATTATTTAGAATGCATTATGATCAGTAACTATATATATATACACATAAGATGATTCAACCAAGATACAAAAATAATTGCAAATCATAACATTTAAAACAAGGTTTGACAAGTTTGAGAAAAACCTTCATGTTACATTTATTAACACTAATTTCTTGAACGCTTTAAAGCATCTAGAAAACGTTTGTTTAAAAAAAAAAAATTAAACACTTGTTTTACAAAATTATATATATATAATCACTAATTTTTTAAAATAAAAAATAATATTATATATTATTAGTTAAAGGTATTAATAATTATTAACTACAATATTTCTAAAATTCTGAAGATCTCCTTTATTTTATTTAAAATTATCTGAATTTTTGTAGTTGTAATGTTTTAATTAATATTGAGATATATGTAGTTATATTTTTAATTAAGAAACAAGGAAACATCAACCAAAACAAATAACAAATTGGTTATACAGATGTATAATTGGGTAAAGTACTCAAATTACAATGATGATATTTTTAATTTATAACATGAATTTATTTTAAGAAAGTAGCTTAAAACCTATTATAAGTGAAACTTTTGAACACTTGTTTTGGTTAAAGAAGCACACTCTAAAAAATGAAATTGATACATCAACTGGGGTTTTCGTTAAATTTACTGGGTTGTGGTCTCATATACAACATAATTTTAATACATGATTTTTTTTCTGTATTTGTATATATATATATATATATATATATATATATATATATATGATTTTAATGCACAATAAGATATTGTGTACACGTATTAATTTATGAATGTGGTATATTAACTAAGTTTTAACACTTCAACTAGTTTTAACACATATCAATAGTAAATATGAACATATTTGTGTTCTTCTTAAACACAGAAAAGATTGTCTGTTAAAATTATGTGATACACAATAAGATGATATGACCAAAATTTGGTTAATTTAGTAAAAACCTTGGTCAGTATATCAATTTATTTTTTAAAATAACTACTTATCCAATACTATATATATTATTTTTGTATTTCTAGTATTGCATACAAACTTGAAAACCAACAAATGGTGTTAAAGTCACTATTTTAATAATTATATATTAAATTTTACAATAATTTTACTTCTAAATTTTAAACTACAAATTATACATACTATGCAACATTCACATCATTGGGATTTTAAAATAAAAATGTAAAAATATAATTGAAGACATTAAAAGAAGAAATAATGCATTTGAAACAATAAAATAAAACTTAGTGAATATGAGACCAAAACCCAGTCACTAAATTTTAAAACATAGTGAATACTACAAAGATAGACTAATCAATGTTTTAAAATTTTGAGATTGTTAGGTCTATTTGCAAATTAATACCAAATCAATCTAGTGACTTATTAATCAAAATTGCTAAGAATTGTGAATATGCATTTGGCTTGTTATAGCTTTCAAACCAATAAAATTATTTTATATTAGATACTACTTATTTAAATATATAAAATAAAAATTGCACTTGATAAGATACAATAATTTAGTTTAATTTGGGATGGAATTTTTTTTAGTTCAGAGATAATGCATGATAAAAATGGATGTATATGGAACATTTTTGCAGTTGTGAAATCAATCATTGTTTTCAGGACTGACAGCAACTACAATCAGTATCTAACAAAAAAACACAAATGTTCCATCAAATTGTTTAATTTCATCTAAGTATAAGCCATAAATAATATTCCTAAAAATAATAAATACAGGAAGACATAATTATTCAAATCTTCGCTCAGAAATTTCTTTTTTAATTTGTAATGTCAGTCATTAATTTTCAAATGATGGAAGTATTTATATGCAAGATGAAAAACTACACATTTTTTTTTATTATGCCATTATTTTTTCAACTTCCACACAAAGCACTAGAATTATTTCCACCAACAAATCTAAACACACTGAATCTAATTTTAGAAAAATTCAAAAGGCCAAAAGATTCCTTTATTGATTTTTTTTTAATTGTACTGTAGTTGAGTTGATACATGATAAATGCTTTCAACAATTATGAAATAAAAACTAAATATTGTTTTTCTTTTTCTTTTTCTTTTCTATACATATATATATTACAATCGTTTTATTTTTTATTAAAATGGGATACAATTTATTATGACAGTGTAAGAAAATACATTTCAACCTTACATATATTTCAAAGGTACACAATTCTCACAACACAATCCTATGGACATTGTAGCAGTAGTCAAACACAAAGAAACTCTCACTTTAATTTGTTCCAATCACATCATGTTAGTACAAAGTTGACAGCAACAATAGTGTTTGCTACCCTAAAAGAGATCAGAAAGATTCACTCTTATGTGAATTGATATTTGATACCCAACTCCAATATCAACAATATTTACAAAAATGAAAAAATACAATGTAATAAAAAAAAATAACAATAACAACAATCGTTTCTCGTGATCCCAAGCAAATCCATGAACACACATTCATATCTATGAAGTGATTAAACACTAAGCACTGTTATTAAAATCGTGTCTCAACAAATGTGCATAATCTGAAAAGGAAAGGAAGTACACAACCAAGACACATAGAGAGTGTGACAAAGGCTACAGGCATCATGGAGCTCTAGGCAAGGATATCGCAGCCACCGAGAGGAAAAAAAAAAGGTGGGGTCAGGACCAATGAAATCCCACGTCCAGGTATGCATGAATCGTGACTCATCCATCCGACGTGGATCCCTCTCGTCGTCGCCACTTGTCACTAAAAGCTCATATCATATCGAGCCCTCTGATTGGCGCGACTCCAGAGCTGTATCTGCACATTCAGCTTGTGCCTTCCAAAATATCCCTGTTCCCATTGGCGCCTGCCTATGGCGGGGGTGGGTATGATCCTACCACCAGGGCCCGGCCCGGCCCGGCCCGGCCTACGATCTTCTATTGGGCTCTTTGTTTGAGCCCCCTTTCTGCCAGTCTTTTAGAGCATGCCAATGAGTGTGAGGAGCGGAGATATTTTCCTTCGTGCCCCACCCGAAACGGGCAGCACCTCGTAGGCAGAGGGTGTTGCTGCCCGTGAATTGAATGAATTGGGTGGTTCTAGTCACTTCCATAACAATTCCTTGACCCAGCTGTGTGTGGTCATTGGCCCTTTAATTTCATTTATTCCCAATGGGGCAGTCAATCTACGATCACCTAAAAATTGATGAGTGAGTGTGGAATCTATTCTGAACTTCTGGAGCTAATGTTGGAATTTGTGATTGGCATTTTTTTCTATGGATTTTTCTTAAGTGTTGCTTATTATCTTCTAAAAGTGCCATGTTTTCATTTCTTTTGAGTTAATCAATACTTTAACTACTTGGTTTTTTTTTTTAAAAAAAATCAATCATGTTTTGGGTTTAAATATATGAAAATGATTTTTTATGTTGGATTTGATTAATAGTGTGCACTGTAATGTGTGTACATGAGTACATTCAAAGACATTTTAACATGTATTGCTCAAGGACTGACCACCTTTTGTTATGTATGAGACACACATATACTGTGTGCGTATCTGTTCTTTGGAAAGAGAATAACACAGTATTTTTCTCCAGCATTTATTCAAGGATATGATAAGTTTAAAGCACTTTCACTCTCACTGATAAAATTCATGCAAATAATGATATGGTGTTGCTCAATACATGTTGTGAAAATTATAATTAACCGACACTCACACACACACAAATATGTAGATGTAGACACAGACACACACACACACACACACATGTCCATAATCACAAGTGAAAAGTTTGATCAGGAAGTAGTTTTTGTGATCCCTACACAACAGAACAAAAGAATGAGAATAACAACAAAATAAATATGGATACTGAATCT